CCTTCCTAAGACAGAAATGTCACCTACAGAAGAGAGCTGAATTTGGGCCCTCTGGAATATCCCACCCACAGAAGAGGTTGGCTTTTCTGTCTTCAGTCACTAGGCAGTTGACAAGGTGATAAAAGAGGTCATACCTCTGGGACTCCTGGCTACCTGGAGAACCCGTTAGGATCAAGTGAGTGAAGAGTAATGGGAGTGTACACTTTATGCACAGCGTCAAAACTACCCACGAAGGAGCCTCCTCAAGAGCTGCTGCTTCCCATTCCTTAATTCAGATGTCGTTTACAAAGAACGAGATACAAGGGTCGGCAACATTAGCTGAACTTTAGGCAGTCATCTTACCCTGGCCAATAACCATCTATGCACTTGTACAGACTCTTAGGCCATGGCCAATAGGCCAGCCACAGTCCAGTTCCACCAGTGGTGAGAGCAGAAATTACTTATCCAAGGTTTCCTGCTTTGAAAAATTAACTATGGAAATCTCTTGTCTCATAAATACCCAAAATATAAATCAAGATTACATATTAAAGCAAAATACAGGCTTCACTTTATCCTCTTTGGGGTTGCAGACATTAAGAGTGACCATTTCATTTCTAAAAATACACAAAGCTGGGCTTTGGAATAAGGTGGTCAGTGGAATTTTTATCACCCAAACCAGCCAGGCTGCAGGCCTCATAGAGCACCACTGTGCCACACTTAGGCAACTTATAATTTAATTAAATGAAATGTGGCATAGTTCCACCATCAGTCAAACATCATGGGAATTATAATAGTCTGATTCCATCTTCAGTGTTTGACAATCAAAAACTTTCAAGCTTTATCATTCTGCCCCAGGTTTTTGGCTGGTTGATAAGAAAACCCAGTGCTCCCTCCTTTGGTACTGGCAGGAATTTCAAACAGTGGGAGGAACTCCAGTGCACAGGTAGAAATCCTCATCTCAGCCCCATTCCATAATCACAGTAAAAGCCAAGACAGTCTCCTCTCCTCTCTCTCAAATCATTTGCAGATCTGCTTGAGAGCCTGCCCTGTCTCCCCAGAAGCCCTCATTAAGTGAGTGAACTTACACCTGCTCAGACATTGTGTGGGGTCGTCAGTCTTGACATCCAAAGCAAATTTTGGGTGTGATGACCACAACCTATTTTCTCCCAAGCCGCATTTTATAACTCCACAAACAGTGGGATCATCAGCACTGAGCCTTAGGATTGTTCGAGCCACCCTCACAGAACTTTGTAATTTTCACTGTAATTTGAATCTACTGAAAATTGGAAATTTTCTGAACTCTCTATTGCAAAAGGGATTATCAACTAAGAATAGACATTAGGCTCTTTTCCTTTTATGTTTCTCAAATTAACTACTTATGTATTTTTCACTGTCAATTCCAGAAAAAAATGAGGGAGAGCCACAGTTCTTATTTCTTCGCGACCTGTTTAGGTTATTGCTGCAGAAACAACTAAATTACTATATTAGGCTTCATCATGAATTAAACTAGCATGTTTAAAACTGGAGGTATTCTGAGCTGGGTGTCCCAAACATTCCTAAACAGTTCTGAGATTGGAATTTGAATGACTCAGATGTTCAGCACTGACCTTTCTTTTCTCTCAATCTGCCACATCACTTACTTCTTCTCAAGAGTTTAATTATTCTCGTGTTTGTCAAAAGCATAGATTTGTTTCTTGGTGCAGAATTTTATTTTATTTTTTGGTAAAAAATCTAGATGGCAAAGCTTTAACTAAATCACTAAATAGATGCATATTTACATAATTCACATATTAGAGTTATGTAAATTAAAAATCTGTATAATTCTGCACCAAGTTGCCAGATACATTGCTAGTGCAGTGGAAAAATATGTGATTTTCTTAGCATCTGATCTGATGGGCTTTCCTTTCCAGCTACACTGGAATCTCTTGGGTGCAACTCTATAAAGATTTTGGAGAAAGAATATTCATTCCTTTAAAATTTATTCAGAGGCAATAAGATTATTTTCAAGCATAAAGAATTTTTACACCATCTCAAAATTGCAGAAAGTCATAAATTATCTTTAAAATTAACAATTGAGATAAAATTTTCCGTCTAAAAATGTGAATGCCAGAGAAATGCTTTTATATTAATTCTTTTAAATAAATACTGTAGTGATTGGCTGCATACTTCCTGGAAAGATGCCTTAACAAAAATCTTTTCACTAATTTCTACTAAGAAAAAGTATGTATAGACATGAAAAAGGGGAATCCAATCCATAGTGAGAGAAAAATTACAGAACACAGCTATACAAAGGCAAAACATTGACAGAAAATAGATGCTAACAGACTGTTTCTTTTTTTGGTGCAAAAGGTATTAAATCTCATTGTTTGGAAGCATTTATTTTTTCATCCATGAAAAATTTTTTGAGCACCATGATGCTATATGAGGCACTGTGCTAAAACAGAGACAAGCATACATTTGAGGTTACTAGAGTCTGGGAAGGAGGGCAAGAATGGGCAGTAATTGCTTAATGAATCAAGAGTTTTTCTTTGGGGCAATAAAAATTTTTAGAAATAGTAACAGTCACACGACATTGTAAATATTATTAGCAATGATTAAAATGGCAAATTTTGTTACATATATATTTTATCACAAGAAAAAAATAGCAAAAACAAAAAAGTGCCAAAGAAAGTACATAGTGAATTATTTTTAGTGTCTCTATTTACATAAAGAAACACTGGGAAAATATATAAGAAACTAATATAAGTGGCTTCTTATAAGTAACATGAATAGTCAGTCATACACACTAATCAGGTTGTGCTAGTTACAATATAGAAATTCTCTGTCCTGGGTTGTAAGTGCCCACTCTCCAATTCCTTGAATTTTCTCTACCTCTGCTCTCATCCCAGGATACCCGACTTCCCCATGGTCTAGCAAGTGAAGTGCTAACCCTGGCAGAGTAGGGGTGTGGCAGGCTAGCTTAGAATGATGTGTAGGATGGTAACAGAGTGGAAGGGCAACTTTGCATACTAAATCTTTAATATCCTTTTGACTTTTGAGCCATGTAAATATATTACCTATTTTATAGTAATATTTAAAACGAAATAAGGAAAGCAGGGAGATGGGGAGGGAGAAGTTGGAACATGAAGAGGGGAAAAAGAGAAGTATACCAACTGGAAAAGGCATTTAAGAGAATTTTAGCAAAACAAATATGTACTTGTAAATCATAAGGAGCTCAGGGAAATGCAAGTCTCATAGAGAGGCTTAAATATAGAGGGGGGGAAACAGATGAGGTTATTTGGGTAAATTTGGGCCAGATATTAAAGAACCTCTATGTGGCCTTAATGAATTTAAACTAATTCCTATGTCACCGATTAATTAGGTTTTTTTTCAGTCAAGGAAATTGAACAGATTTGTGTGTTAGAAAAAGAATTCTGACAACTATATGGAGAATGCACTGAAGAGAGAAGCTAGGAGTGGGAGGGCTGGGATGTTGAAGATAATGAGGTGGCAATAAAGAAGTCGTGGTCAAAAGATACTAAAGAAGATCTAATTAATGGTCTTGCCGAAAAATAGTTAACTTGGGGTTTGAGTTAAAAAAAGGAGGAACAAAAGATGACTCTATGATTTCTCGCTTATTTGACAAACTGGGTGGATTATGACCTTTAATGGGGTGATTCTAAATGGAAATTATTCAGAATTTTGATTATTCGAAATGTGAATATATTGAGATGCCAAAGATATAGCATGACGTAATGTGTATTTCAAATAAAAAGTTTCTATGCAAATGGAAATGATTTAGTTTCCATTTAATACTGACTTAATAAGAGGAAATATGCTAAATTTTATAGGAGAAAGTATTTTTATACATAAAAATATAAAATCAGAGTAGTATTGGAATATATTTTAAAGACTATTTCGTGCTGATTTTTACAAATTTCTTTTTGACTGTGATAACTTAGGTGTTGGACATGTAGAAAAACGACCTCTAGGTATTGTTACAAATTCTAGAATTTAAATTTTTATAGAAAATAAATTTACCAAAATGCCAGCTAACATTTTTCCCAAAAAAAGTATTTTCAAAATCCCATGGTATTTTCAGGGGATGATATTGGTTTCATCAGAATGGAAATTAGAATGCAGAAGTTTCATAAAATCTTTATGACCAAATTGGCTGTTTAGATCATTTCTTCAAGCATTCTTCCCTAATTATACATATACCTGCAGCTTCCCCTCTCTCTTTCTCCACAGCCGACCTTCAAGTAGTCTATATTAATATCCTTCACTTCCTTACATTTATTCTTCAGTCTGGCGAATTTCTACAAGTGAAGGGGCAGTTGCTAAGATCAACAGAGCTCAAGACATGACCAAGTCATCTCACAGGAACTCTCTGTTGCATCTGCATCCTTAGAAAGCCCATCCTTCTTGAAATACTCTCTTCGCTCTCTATGACACCACACATTCCTGGATTTCTTTATCCTTTTATGACAAAATCTTCTAAACCTATCCAGCCTTTAACTGTTGAATTTCTCAAGAGTTAGTCATGCCTCTTGTTCACTTCTCACCCTACTCTCTTCCAGAAGAGCTTACCACATCTATGATTTTAATTTCCAACTATATGCCAATGATATGTGGCCCTTTCCCATTATTTCAAATATTTAGTTAGACCTTTTCTCCAGACTGCAAGCATAAATAACCAAATGTTTCTCAGTCTCTCAAAGTGGATGTCTCAAATAATCACTTTTTTCTAAAGGTATGTTTTTATTGATTTTTTTTTTTTTTTTTTTTTAGAGAGGGGAAGGGAG